AAATTTTGCTACGCTAATGAACGATTTATCATTTGCAAATACATCATTTGCATAGCTACCAGTTATCTTCTAATGTCTAATATAACGCTCTATGTTTTTGAAAAATTAATGGTCATTTTTACCTCCTGGATATGGTCCGCCAAGTCCCAAAGGGGGTTTAAGGACTAGAAGACACCTTTCCATCACTTAACAGGCTTAAGCACATTGTACAAAAAAATAAATAAGTTGAACATCTATAAAATATAAAGCACACTTATGTTGATGTAAAGGTTGAAACATATATCATCAACTGGCAGATTAAGGCTTTGTTGGAGTAAAGTCCTTGATAAAGCTGACCATACATAGCTCAGGCTGTATCCCAATGGTGGTATGGGAAGTTCTTCTAACAACTTTCAGCCGGTGACATGGGCCAGGAGAAACCAGACAGCATCTCTAAGTGGGGGGAATGCAGAGAGGAGATTCTTGCTGAAGAAAGAATGGTCTTCGTTGTGTGGGAAAAATACGTTTTTTTCCCCAAACCACAAGCGGAGTAGTAGCGAGACTCCTAAACTGTGAGCATAACACATGATTGTGGCTCACGCAAACAATGAAAGTATGTGACCAAGGGGTCTCCCGCTTCCTCTTCCTAACCCCACTGGCTACTCCTCCTTGATGAGACCGGAATAGTCTTGACAAGTGGGCCTGAACATTGTCAGTACTGATAAACAGTACTGTATGTCAAGGAAGAGCTTGGAAGGGAGAAGCTGGAGCAGGTGGGATATGGCAAGATGGACCAGGCATGCTGTGGCTTCATTCAGTGGGCAGGGTGTTACAGGGTGATGCAAGCTGAAGCTGTGACACAGGTGACATTCAGGAGGAAACTTGGTGGGAGGATGCTGGACCACTGTTGTTGTTGCTGGCAAGCTGGACTGTGGTGGAGCAGCTGGGGCTCGTTCCATTCTGTCCGGCAGCAGAGCCGTAGTGTGCTGCATTTGCAGAAGCAATACTTACATTTCTTCAGGACCGTTAAAAGGGCAGATATAGATTAAGTTAAAGGAGCAGTAGTATATGAGAAGTGTGTTAACAATCTGTAAACTGTATATTGTTATTGTTGTTACTTACACCTGTCTTTGACTTCCTCGGTCCATTTTGGCAATCTGTGACAAAAAGTCAAGCCAGAATTATCAGAGAGTTTAATAAGATAATGGACAAAATTATCCTCACCATTGGTGCTAGTCAAGGTAAAACATGATTTACATGGGGTCTATTTTGGTGTCACTTTTTTCACAGTCACCACACAACTACACAGTCTCTCTCTCTCTCTCTCTCTCTCTCTCTCTCTCTCTC